TATATTAAAGACGTATAGAGTTTTCTTAGACTAGCAAACTATTATTAAAAGCTAATACTATAATACTCGAAATACGCTATAGGACTCTACCGATTTACTAAGAAGGGAGTACTATTTTAATAGGATAAAGAAGCGGAAAAATTATTTAATATACTTAAAGGAATATATAATAAGAAGATAGGAAAGGCTATCCTAGCTATCTTTAACTACGATATACTAATTATTATAGAAACTAATATATTAGATTTTACGCTTAGGATATAACTTATATAGCTAGGATAAGATAGTAAGCTTAGACCTATTACTTTCTAGTTATATAAAATAATACTAATAGAAATTAACTATAATATTTACGATAAGGAATTACTAGCTATAGTATTAGTATTTTAGATATAGAGAGTATACTTAGAAGAAGCTAAGTATATAGTAATTATTCGAATAGATTACTATAATCTTATATACTTTACTACTATAAAGAAATTTATATAACGATAAGTAAGATAGGTAGAAATCTTAGCCTAATACGACTTTAAGATTATATATTATAAGAGAACCGAGAATATAGTCGCGGATATACTTAGTCGATAATCCGACTATAAACTTAGAACTAAGGAAGTAGTACTAGCTATTTTAGTCAAGGATAACGAAGGAAATATTATTTATAACTACTAGACGCTCGTAGTAACTAGCGAGGTCTAGAACGACGAATAGATCGAAAAAATTCGAGAAGGAATATAAACCGACGAATTATTATAAAAAGTCTTAGGTAATAATACTACTATAATAACTAATAGCTTAGTCTATATTTATAGATTAGTATATATATCTAAGAACCTCTAAAAGTAGATTATCTAGTTATACTACGATAAACCTATAGAAGGATATCTAGGCGTAGAAAAAACTATCGAGAAAATTATATAGAACTACTATATCCTAGCGCTATATAGAAAAGTTAGAAAATATATTTAATAATACGACTTATACTAATATAATAAGTTATTACGATATATACTATACGGAGAAATAGAACTAGCGGAAGTACTAAAACGACTATAGGAATAGATTACAATAGACTTTATTATAAAGTTACCTATATTAGAAGTAAACGATATAATTATAGTAGTTATCGATCGACTAACTAAATATATATATATAATCCTAATAATAGAGACTATCGATATATAATAAATAGCTAATCTACTACTTAGATATATATTTACTAATTATAGGATACTAAGTTAGATTACCTCGGATAGAGATAAGCTATTTATATCTAATATATAGTAATTACTAGCGGATTAACTCGGTATTAAGTATAGACTCTCTACTATATACTACTTATAGACTAATAGATAAATAGAATAAGTTAACTAGATCTTAGAATAATATCTTCGATACTATATAAATTTCTAGTAGGATAACTAGATAGGATTATTACTAATAGTATAATTTACGTATAATAATATAATATATATAACTATAAAAGAAATATTATTCTTTATAAATTATAGGTTTAATCCTACTATTATTAGAGAACTAATAGGAAAATAACTACTTATAGAGTTATCTCGACTACTAGTAACTAGATTAAAATAACTTTATCTATAACTATTAAGAGATATCGAGTTCCTTAATATATATATAAAATCCTATTATAATTAGTTACGCTAGGAGGCGCTAAATTTTTAAAGGGGGGAGAAAGTTTACCTCTTACGATATAATATTCGTACTAAACGATCTAGTATAAAACTCGACTACCTTAAACTAGGACTATTCGAAATCGAAGAGAGAATAGGACTACTTAACTATCGCTTAAAACTACCTAATAGTATATAATATATTTATATAATATTTTATATCTTATTATTAGAGAAAGTACCTAAGAATGCTAAAACTACTATTAATATAGAAATAGAGGAAGAAACCGAAAATAAATATAAAGTAGAAAAAATACTAGACATAAATAAAATTAGTAGGAAATCTTACTATCTAGTAAAATAGAAGAAATATAATATCTCGGAAAATATATAGGAATCTATCGAGAATCTAATAGGCTACTACTAGCTAGTTTAATAGTACTATTAGTAAGGAGGGAACTCCTAAGTAAAGTATTATCCTAGATATCCTAAAAAGATAAAGAGAACTAATCTAGAGACGCTATAAACTAATTTAAACTAGTATTATCAGACGAAGTAGCTAACTATTAGATCTTCTACTAAGTAGTAAGATAGTCGAACTTAATAAACTCCGTTATAGTTAGAGGGTTATTCTTATTAAGACGGTTAGCGACTACTTAGTTGTAATCTAATATCTAACTACTATAATCTTTTAAGAATTTTTAATACTTCTGTAAACGAAGTATCTTTACTATTACCTTATTTATTTTTTAAGAATATTAAAGAAATTATTTTTAAGTCTTCTTAAGCTCCTAGACTAGTTTTTACTTCTTATACTAAAGATCCTCTTACTCCTTATTAGAATAGAAACTATATTTATAAGTCTAGCTATAGTAGGCGTAAGTTAAGTATTTTCTACTATTAGCGTATAAGCTTATAATATAAGACTTCTCTCGAATAAAGTAATAGTTATAAGGAGATAAGATTAGAGAACTAGACTACTTAATTTTATTAGCTAAATAGTTATTATTAGTATACTTATTATATTTAGGCTTAACTATAGTACTACGAGATATAATAGGCTATAGAGAAGGGAAGATAGAAAATACGAAGAAGAAGAATAATATATATATTAAAGAGAGGAATAATATTTAAATCCTTTAAGAATAAAGAATAGGAAAAGAGGGGATAATATTATAGATCTTAAGAAGATATAGGGGACTATAGCTATTTAAGGGTAAATAAGGACTAATTATTTTATAGATACTAGATATTAGCGTTATTACGTATATCTTAGTATACCTAGATACGCTCCGGAGGGTCCTAAGAAAGAATATTTAGATAAGAAAGCTAGATTCGGCCTATACCTAACTATTATAATCTATATAGACTTAACCTATAGGACGGTTAGTACGACGTAGGAAATAGCTACTATATATATAATCTAGGATATATAGTTAGGTATACTATATAGACTATAGGAACGACTAGTCCGGTATACTATTAATTATTCCTAACTATAGACTATAATCGAGAAGGACTAGATATATAAGGATATTCGTTTAGTATTATATATTTAGTTCTTCGCGATTAATTACTCCTATTACTAGGATAGTATAATTATATATTATTACTTAGTTACTACCAGAGTACTTTATATACTTTATAGTTCAACCTTAAGATAACCCAACCTATAAGTAGGGGATTCACTAGGTAGTAATACTTAGTAATTAACTTACTCGGCGCGTATTTCTGGCACGTTCTGCAAGATACTCAACAGGATCTAGCCCGCAGTAAGGCGTTGCGACGCAACGGTACGATTGAGAGATACTCTTGGAATCGAAAGTCAGGATCAGGCAAGTATAACCCGTGTGGCATCCTAACTTTACAGTGACCAGTCGGCTACGCGTAACATAGTTCAATATACTAACGCTTGATAGACACAAAGAAACGGCGTGCGCGGGAAGCTCTCGAAGACATCTCGAATTCAATTGAATCTGAAGATCAGATACTATATGAATTCAGCTCATCAGGCCACACGATTCAGCCTAAGCGATCGAAGAGTCAACGGGAACGACGTCAAAGCAGAGGATCTCAATCAATATCAAGATCACCTAGTATACAACAATCACCGAGTCGTTCAATGTAAGTTTACTAGGATATTACGAGTTAACGACGTACTAATATTAAAGTAGCACGCCGGCTTCCTCTCAGGCAGATTCCACGCAGTGTATCAACCTTCGGCGCACTGCATCTTCTAATCTTTATACTCAAAATCAGGTCAAAATGGCTAAAACAGAAGAACAGGTTTTAATCGAGAGGGAAGAACTAGTTAACGAGCGAATGCGGCTTGAGAATGATACAATGAAAGTTAAGCTAGAGCTCTTACGCCGGCAAATGGAGGTTTCAAATGCGGATGACCGTCAAATACAGTCACAGTTAGAAGCAGAGCTTAATTCGAGGTTAAACTAAATAATAGTCTTTAAAACTGAAAAATCTCTGAAGCAAGATACCACTAGAAGGCAGCCTATAGGAAACGCCCCAAAATCAGCCTCAAGACATCGGAAAACCCTCACTTCTGGGCCAAATATCCCTAGAAAATCGCTAGAACACTCACAGACTTTACCTGCGCCATGCTGGCTGAAATACCGTTGTACGAAACAGGTAAGAGTGTCGTTTTGGTGCCAAGAGAGACGTGTATTGGTAAGTATGGGGCGGTGAGGCGTAAGAGTTCACCAGAGGGGGGTGGGGCGTTGTAGCCTAAGGCAGATAACACCAGGGTCGGCTGAGGTGTCAGGCGAGGTCGGTTGACCTGTAGTCACCCCACTTGCTACTGCTACCCCCCATGCCTGAATTTTCAAACAGACGTTCCTATTTGGGTTTAGCTTAAGGCAAAAACAAATTCCACAGGCATTAAAATACACCACTTTTCTGACCGCTTACCGGACCACCTTATTAATAGATAGATTAGTACGATTTCAATGTAGATTTCTATGTCAAAAACGTGTATTTTATGCGGTAGGTTGTATGGCTGATTTACTATGCAAATCAGAAAGGGACATACATGGCCGAGGACAAGGTGGCAGAAAAGTGGCAGAAAAGGGGCGGTCAGAGTGGGCCTGGCAGAATTCCGGCAGAAAATTCAAGCTAAACCCAAATAGGAATGTCTGCTTGAAAATTCAGGCATTGGGGGGTAGCAGTAGCCAAGTGGGGGTCGGAATGACCAAGGGGGGTAGCTCTTAGCAATCCCCTTACTTATCCCCTTACTTTAAGGTGGTAGCGGAAGGCATCTCTGAATTTTTGCGTCCCTTTGCCGTTCATAGTATTATGTATTAATGTTGCAAAGAAATAAGTTTCACTAGGACTTTTGCTGCAGCATTATAAATGACGTATGTGGCTGCCACGGGTAGGACTGCAATTCTAGCTAGCCACCGAAAACGTGGGCGGAGATGCTCAGGATAAAGCTTCACACTATCACACTTTCTTCCATTCAAGCTGCCTGTCCCTAAACCACCAATCTTAATAGTTCATACACGATCAATAACACCTATCTATGGGTCAAGCTCCAGGTATTGTTGATTCATGCTATCCTTCTGTTTCCTGTGTTTTATCTGACTATTACTCTAGATCGAACGACAATTGGGGGCGAAGGCGAGGTACCCGGTGATCAACTTCAACATCTACAGCAGGAAGTGCAGCATGAAGCGCAGCACGAAGCGCAGCAATACCGTCGTGCTATATACGCTTTGATTGAAAAGATACGTCACTGCGGTGATGAGGAGCTCCAAGAGTTACTGAGATCCATCAGAAACGCGGATAGCCTGGCTGAGGCCACAGAGAAAGCGGTTGCTCTTAAGTATTGTTGATGGACGGCTGAGCAACGCTACAAGTTGGAGAACTAGAAAGTCTGGGAGTGCTCTTTGAAAAACCGAGACACGTCATCGATCTGTTGATAACGCAACAGTCTTAAGAATATTCAATGTCAATAGTAGGTTAGGAGAGTAAACGGAATAATGCCTTACGGCACACTGTACTCCGAATAGCTACGAGCAATAGGTGGGGGCCAACCGATCGAAAAACAAGGGTGATTGTCAACTCCGACGTGATGATTCGGTTTCAAACATTGGGTATGTACGAGTACTCCGTATGGTCGGAGTGCATTTCTGCCAACGCCGGAACCCGTAACCAGAACTTATGATTATAGGTACTTTGATGAGCTACAGTGGATTTCAAAAACAGAATGCTTCCCAGACGCGGACGCTTTCTTTCCCAGTGCCCCGCTCCGATTGCGCTAAGCTTTATTGGCTATGAAAGGCGTTGCGGTTGGCTATAAGGGAGATCTAAAACTGGGCGATCTGGACCCGGCTCTTTCTCGTGGGCTACACTACTGGAAAGAAAGCGTGTGCCTGTGGGTAGTCTCTTTTCGGAATCCACCGTACAAAAAATATACTCCGTACATTAAAAGGGAATAGAGGAAATATTGGCTGACCGAATCAAGTTTAGCGCGTGCAGATCGGGGTAGGAAAAGGCGCCTCTTTGCCACCTGGTCAGCTCCGATCATTTGCCTCTCCTGGAGTGGCATTGGTCGAATGTGCATTTTCAGAAAGGACATTCCTGGCCTCGAGTGAAGACCAAAGCCGTCCCTGCCTGGCAAGCTCGGGGAGGAGTGACGAGGAGCAAATCTTGCAATATAGCTATCAAATTGAGCCAAGCGTGTTGAGCGGACACCGGGATCGGAGGTATGTATAGCACGACAATAAAAGGAGCAACGCTATTGGAAGGCCTTTTCGGGGGTCGGCACGAATACATGTTCGTAGGGCTTTGAAATAATCGCATTCGTATTCGTAGTTTTGCAGTCTATGAATAGTCTTATTTGTCCAGCTGAGAGATGGTATTTTATCACGAAGAACTGGCTGATTCAGCGACTCCCTAAACTAACTAACTAATGTGATTGTTACGGGCGGACTTGGGACTGTGAGGCATGTGACGGAGGAGGGGCACGTGACAATAAGGGAAGGGCACGTGCTGCGTATCAGATAGGATATCAGCGCGTCCTTGCGGAGATGTTTTCCTTCCTTTCTTCTCTCCTCATGCTTAGTTGCTTCGTTTAATGCCACTACGTTGGTTGATTGCCTATCTCCTCGTAACTGGGTGTAACAGTGATTCCCCGTTGCCATTAGCAGTTGATGTTAGGTGATGTTGGTTGGCCAGCTACCGTATATTAGGGCTGTACTTGATCTTCTCTGTGAACTCTTTTATCTTGTGCCGGATGAATTAGGCAGCAGTTGAAGGGTGTCTTCATTTAATCCAAGGATGAGCTTTATCCGCGCCGTGCTATTGAGGTCGTTTTCAATGCTGGGCTGATTACAGCTAGAGACGATCCATTTCACGTGGAAATAAGCTGACGATTAACAACAACACAAAGCCGTCGGCCCGAGTTTGTAGTGCTCAAGATTGGCAAGGATTAAGCAGAGTAAGATGTCGAAAGAGTAGAACCGAAAAGGATTCCGTCCAGTCGATGAAGACAGAGCGAGCCTGGATCAGAAAAGGGCCAAAAAAATGCCGCCAGCGGCAATTGCATAAATGGCTGGTACTTCCATGCTCTGTGTGGGATACTGCGGTATATGTTAATAGTGTAAATCATGAGAAGGGAGTGACGAGTGAAGAACTCGCGGGAATTGAGACACTTTAAGGGACATACGGTCACTGAGGATGGCTTCGCTGCGGTGCGGCTCCCTGAGGCAGCAACCACCGCAGCCATCCTCAGGGACCAGGCTTAGGATATTTAACGGGTGAAGAGTTCGTTGAATTAAGACACTTTTAAGGTACGTACGGTCACTGAAGATGGCCTCGCTGCGGTGCGGCTCCCTAAGGCAGAACACACCATCGCTCCACAGCGAGCACAGCCATCCTCAGCGACTAGGCTTAGGGTATTTAACAGGGCGAGTCACCCCGGATCATAAGAGGACTTTCAATTATCTGGTCTTTGTGTTAACTACATCATATCGAAGAAATGCACATGGGTGAAGAAGCGCCAGTCGGAGAGTGCTCGTGCAAAAGCACAACAACGCAACAGACGTAGACATACCCTATTCAAAAAGGCGAAAGAACTTGTTTTCGAGTGTGAATCCGATATCTTCGTGGCTGTCCGATGTCGAAAAAACGGGCAAATATATATATTTGATTCATCCATACGGAATCAATGGCTCAAAGTCTTGTCCAATCTGGTATATTGTGCTGTATCCCTGGTTAGTCCCGTTGGCCAACCTACATTAATAGGAATTATGCTACCCTCGTCCGATCCGAGAGCCAGTGGAATATATACCTCAGCTATAGGGTCGGGAAGAAGGAGCAGCTTCTTCCGGAAACCATGAATGACGAGGTCAATTAGAACAATAATTGTCGATTTAGTATTCCCTATACAGTCGGAGTCGAAAACAGATTCCCCTTTGTGCACTCACGAATAGTTTCCCAGACCCTACTTCAAAGCGGCCTAATCTGTAATAGGTTACTCTCGAAATAATCCCTGTTTACTTGTTGTGTATCAAGCTGGTTCGCCGAATACGTTATTGTAAGGTACTGTAATTCTCCATGGAATCGAGGAGAACATTCCTAACAAAAGTACTCCTAGAAGATCTGGAGACGTGGAAAGTTCCTCTCTTTCTCATTCTTCCTTCAGCATCGCCCGAAGCCTTCGTCCACTCGTTTCACTGTCACTCATTTAAGGTCATTCATTTTACTGTATATCAAATAAAGTTGCATGCTACTGTGGAGGGCTAACTTTGGTAGGGGAACATGCGTCTTGTTTATTCTCATAGCTGCTCTCCTCCAACTGTCATTTGTTTAATAGCGTTCGTGGAAAGCTAACAACCTCACATAGGCTGACAGTATCTTCCAGAGTTTTATTGTATTGCGAGTAGATATGACTGGAAGTCCGTACTATAACGATAATATCTCTCAACCTGATAAGCTCGAACTATGGGAACCGAACTAGCAGTATACCCCAACCCCAGGATACCTCCGCAGCCCGTATAGCACTCGATCCACGTGTAGCCCCGACCGTTCTAGTATACCTAAGAATAGATCCGAGACGGCAAGCCAACTACAGATAGATAACCTTAAACTGCTTCAGCTCTCTAAGTAGGAAGAGGGGAGAGACTACTATTATATACGAGAATAGAAAAGCTTCAGAAGGACTTATAAACTTTTATTCTAACTTGACTACGTGGTATTAAGAATCTTAAAGGCTAGAGAGGAGAAAAAGAAAAGAGAAGAGACTATAGTTCATCCTAAGTTTTAAGACGGTATATATAATATATATAGTAGGCGTGGTATATATATCCCCTATCCTCCCTTCTTATCCTAAGTCAGTCCTGTTATACTTATAATATTACCTCCTTCTTTAAAGAACCTAGCCCTCTAGGTCTTTAAACTCTAGTACTAGTAGCGTTAGTCCTATATCGTTTAATTAGCCTATTTATTATCGTCCTCGTGGTCGTTATTAATTTTATCCTTTAGCGCCGCCTCGGCCTAATTTTATAGCCTTTTCGGTAGTCCTAGCTAATTAGGATACTTCTATAGAATTCTATAATCCTTTCTAGTAAATTTTTGAAATTCCTCGCGGGATACTAGATATTATTATATTTATACCCTTTCTACTTTACTTAATACTATAACTTTTAGTACCGTAGCTATACTACGAGGATCTTCTCGACTTCCTATTCCTACTCGTCTTTAATAATCTCTAGTAGTAGTTCCGGATCTAGTAGTTAGCCTTATAGCGGTTCCGATTTTAATACTTTTCGTAGTTTATCTAGTAAGAATATCGGATATATCTTTATAGAGTCCGGTAGTTCGATCTTATATATATTTCCTATCTTCTCGAGAATCTTAAAGGGTCTATATATCTAGTAAGCTAATTTACGGCTAGGTTAAGGAGTTTTCTAATTTTTCGAAGTTATATAGACTATATCTCTAATACCGAAATCTTTAGGTCTACGAGATCGATTAGCGTATTTCTTATACCGTCTCTAAGCTATAGTTATTTATTATTAGACTTATTCCTAAATCTCTTCTAGGTTACTTATATAGTCTTATACTACTTAAACTTCCTCCGAAGGATCTCTTTAACGAAGTCGAGATCGAATATATTATTACTAATTAAGTTTCTTTAGCGTCTCCTAGTCGAATAATACTCTAGGTTTATATCCTTATTCTATATAAAAGGACGAGATACTAGTTATCTCCTATAGTAGTACTATAGTAGCGAAATCTACTATTATAAGATAGTCGGACTAGTTATCTTAATAATAACTTATAAAGGGCTATAGATATTAAGCTATATATTAATTCGTAATCTTACTTTAACTATCGGTTTATAGATAGTATACTATTAATAGTTTCTTCTTAATATCGAGGATTCTATAGAATTCTGTCTAAAATTCGGATACGAACTAGCCTCTATAGTCTAAGATAATCGAATCTAGTATCCTAGTCTAATAATAAATATAGTTAATAAAGATCTATATAGTCCTTTTTATATCGATATTCTTATAGTAGAAGATAGAGATTAGTCGCTTTATTAGTTAATTAATAAAGACTATAACTATATTATAGCTATACTTATCTCGGGGGAAGGAGCGGTAATCTATAGTAATATACTACTATAGTCGGCTAGGGATCGGAAGTAGTTTTAACTCGCTAGGTATCTTATCCTTCTATACTTTAGTTCGCTTATATAATTAATAGTTATTAATATACTATCTTATATCCTAGCAGAGCTCCGGCTAATAGTATTATAAAGCGGCTATTCGATATATCTTATCTTATCCTAGATAAGCTATTAATAGTTAATAGTAAATCTTAT